TGCAGCTAATTCGAAAAGTGGAGGGCAAGGCTATATACGCTGTCATTGAAAAAAGAAGTGTTCCACGAATAAATGTAGTTGTAAAAAAAGGGACTCTTGTGCAATTCAAAGTGCCATAACAGTTTAAGTTGTTGCAATAAATAGTGCTATTTGCATTGACCCAATTCCTTTGATTGTTGCAGTGTTTTCTTTGCTGGCTAGGTTCAAGGTTTGTCTGTCAGGCTTGATTTCTGTGAAATCATCTCAATTAGCACACACGTGGAAAGATGCACCACTGTCAAGAACACCATTTATCTCTTTTGGTAGATCCTGATTGGTTTTGTGAGCTAACTTTCACTTTTTTTTGCTTGAGGAACAAATTTGTTTGTTTTCAACTTGAAAGCTTGAATCAGTTATCTTGCCATGGAAGCACTCTTCAATGGCTTTACTGGCACACTCACTGCTTTTGAGTTTGTAGCGGCAGTCAGAAGACTTGTGATTTCGACAACCACAGTATTTGCATTTCGATCCATTTGGATTTGTTTTCTCGAATTTGAGTGGAGTTTTACCCTTTGGATTCCTACAACCATCTTTGTTTTTGAAGTTTTTCTTTTTTTTTGTATACATGGCATTGGGTACTGTGTTGATCTTTTTGCCTTTTCGTGATTCATACTCTTTGAGGATCTTCACCTTAAGGGCATCTGGATTTGGCAGATTGTCGTGTGATTCAATTGCACAATGAAAGTTAGGCTATATAAGGAAGGCTATATAATAAGATTATAGCGAGAAGGTTGTCATTGATATTAACATGTAGATCTTGAAGCTTGTTGACAGCATCAAAGAATTTGTTGAGGTGGTCTCTGGCATCATCAGATTAATCCATCTTATGCAGTGTGAGCTGTTTGAGGAGTGTGGTTTTGCATGCAGGACCTTTAGATTGGTAAATATGTTCCAATTTGTTCCAAATTTCCAAAGCAATCTTACATCCCTTGACTTGTTTTAGTTCACTAGAACTGATTGTGAGAATTAAGTCAGCTTGGGCCTTGGAATTGTCTTCATCCCGTGTGGCTGCTTTTTCATCATTGATGAGTCATGGGTAGGTTCAATTCACATATTTCCATGTTCCATTTTTAACTAAGATAGCTTTTTGCTTGGATTTTCCATGTGTCATAGTTATCCTTCTTTAAAGGTTTGATTCTGATTGTGGTCGTCATTTTTAAATATTGTTAGTGATTGGACAATTGTCTTATCATTTCAAATTCAGTGGGTTACAGTATCTGTGTACTAGTAATTGCCCACTAAAAAATGAATTCTGTTTAAATCCATTGCCACGTTTTTGTTCGCTAGCTTGACTGGAAGTTGACTTGGTTGTAACTATTGGCGTGAAATTTTATAAAAAAGAATTCATACCTTTGCTCTCTGTTGGTTTTCCAAGTTTTGTAGCGATTGGATTTGTGGAGTGTGAGGAATAGTTAAAAAAAAAAATCAATATGTGCTACAGTTTTGTTAATCACTCTTCTTCCTTGGGAATTTTCTTTTATTCCTCTTCAGAAGGCTTCTTATGGGCCCTTAACCTGTTGTAATAAATGCAGGATGTGGCAGCAGAGTAAAGTAAAAAGGGAACTATTTGGTTTGAACACAGAGTTTAATCTAAGCTGTATAGAATACACATACCAAAAATAAAAGGAGATAAGGTACAAAGTACAAGAATCTTCTTGTATAAACAAAGGTCTAGACATCACCTGGAATGTCCCTAGGAGAGTGTCATGATAGTCTCACCAACAAATGTAAATGCAATTTAAATTTATTTAGTATATAAAGTTTCATATATTATATATATATATATTCTGTATATATGTTACTGTGAAAGACTGAAATTAGAGAATGTCGATATTCTCCGGTGAACATTGACACATACAAAATATGTCAGTGAAAGTCCAAATATTTGGTTATATTATTATACATTTGAACAATCGCCGGTGTATGTCGACAAGCACATATAAGCTTTGGTGGAGGTCGAAACGACACCCAAGAAGCTGATGTCGACAGAGAGGCAACAGTCTGTTGCCAAATCCTTTGTAGGTAGCTGGAGGTAGGACAAGGTCTTTTGATCCTGTGAGGTGGGGATCGGTTTGTCAGGTTGAGTGGCGGAGGATGAGAGTGGTCGTCGGTAAGGCGTCGGTGATATCTAAATAAAAGACACCATTAACAGATCACTTCGTAATAACGTAATCAGTTTGTAATTTGTAAAGAAAAGTTACTTTCCATAGATGAGATTTCTTCTCAAGAAATATCACTGAGAGAAGCAGCGGCAGCTAATTTGAAAAGTGGAGGGCAAGGCTATACACGCTGTCATTGCAAAAGGATGTGTTCCATGAATAAATGCAGTTGTAAAACAAGGAACTCTTGTGCAATTCAAAGTGCCATAACAGTTTAAGTTGTTGCAATAAATAAGATTGTATAATGTCAATCACATAATATATGTGTAAGTTCACTATTGTGTATTATTTTTCTTATCTGATTAAGAATGTACTGTTCGTTTTACGTTCAACAGTTTATTTACATGTGCTGTTACTTAAGCTATCTCCTATCTTCACATGTTAAAATGTTGCATTTTTGTCTTAACGTAATAAAAATATTTTTATTCAACATTCACCATCAGTGCATGCTGAATGTCGACATTTGCCAGTGTAAGTGAGAAATAATGATACTTAGCAAATATTTCGTACATACACGAAACGACTGTGTGAATGCTGACATTCACCAGAAAATGTTGATATTTGCCAGATATCGGTCATTCACAGTAACATATATATATAATTATTTAAATTACAATAATGAATAATAATGAATAACTAATATTTGATTTTATTAAGGTATTTGAAAATGCTTTCTTTGCCAATCATCAACCTTCTTCAACTCTCCGTCATGCTATTGTCACTGTCGTAATTGTTTTTCTAACTTTTGCATTATCTATATTGACTGATTGCTTGGGAATTGTCTTACAGTTGAATGTAAGTTTATTCTTGTTGCATTATTATTTAAATAATTAAAAATTATAAATATTTATTATTTAATTAGGGAATATTAGCTGCTGTTCCTCTTGCATACATCCTTCCTGCAGCTACATATTTAAAAGTACAACAGGAAAGAATTTTGTCTTGGGATAAAACCCCAGCATTTTTATTAGTATTTTTTGGAATTATTGTTGCTGTTTGTGGGACTGCTAAAACTGTGATAAATATTTCAAATGGAATTACCTGCAGCCATGGAGAAGAAATGCCATATTGCCTTCCTCCATTCATTCCAACAAATATTTCAAACGTTTATAATTTATCTACGATAAATGATCTATCGTGAATCTAATATATATTCATAAAATAATATATTATTGTGTAGAGTATAATATATACATATATATATATACATGATCATATATTTTTCTTGCATGAAATTTTTAAATTACTATATTTATTATTTCATAAGAATTTTAAAAATATTGGCACAAACTTATATCATTGTTTCAATGAGATATACAAATATATTTGATAAGAAACTTTTATAAATGGGTTAACCATGGTTGATTTATTTATTTTATCAAAAATTCAATTTTTAATTTGTTTAAATGATAAAAATTTGCTTTAGTTTACTTAATATACAAAGATTTATGTATATGTATTTATTATTACTACTTTTTCTTACGTATATTACTTGATAGTTTTATTAAGAACTTAATATTTACTATCTTGACAATTATTTTTAAAACTTCCAAATTTGAGTACGGTAGGCCCTCGATTTGATGGACTAATTGGGAAAGGGGCTTGCCCTATTGCCAAAAGTCTGTTTGATTTGAATGCACTTCAATAACATATTGATAACCAACTTACAACATACAGGATGTATTAAAATATTGCTATAAAGTATAAGTATGAATAAAATATTATTGTGATGTACAGTACATTGAGTAATTTATACCCATTGACTCAATCATTTAGTGTGCTCTATTTGCGAATTAAAAACAGATTCTAAATTTTTCTTTTAAGACAGAAATTTATTTTTGTCTATTAATTAAATTGAGGGTTTACTGTATTTTGGAAGATATAAAATCTCAATATAAAATTTAATTTGATTTTTCAGAATTGAATGTATTATTTATTAGGATTTTTATATATCAGTGAAAAGAATTTTTGAATTAATTTTTTTTAAAACAAAAGATATTTTTAAGTTTTCATTATATTTATGTGAAAAATGGTAAATAGATTGTTGGGTTATATTATGTGAATCATTAAGGAATAATATAAAAATCAAATAACTATATAAATATATGTTGTTTTATTTTATTTTTTTACTCTTTCCCCATGGGCCTATTTTTTCCAAGCCTGTCATGAGTTCAGCCAGGCCTGCAATGCAATGGCTTGACTCATCCAGGATAGACTACCTCCCCAAAAAATTTCTGGAGATTTTGGAATCACCCAGATTTGATCTCATGTTCCCTGTCGGCACCTTATTGCTTCGGCCATCTGGCTGGCAATTTTACTTTTTTAACATGTAAAATATTTAATACATTTTACAAAGTTAATTTATTAATAGTGTGGTTATAAAATGAATTTATAAAAATACCATACTGTCAAAATTTTCAATAAAAAATTTTTAAAATATAGTTAACTGATTTTTTTTCTTTTTTTTATGTATATTAAAGCTAAATTTTTTTTAGAATTTAAATTGTAATTTCATAAAATACTGATTTTTTTACTTTGAAAAAGTTATAATTGAAAAATGAATAGTATTTCATGAAAAAGTTTTTTATCTGCTTATTTAAATTTTAAAATATTGGAATTTACTAGTGACAATTCAGCATTAAAAACGTGGGTGTAATTTATAATAGTTATATTTCTTAAGAACTAGTTTTAAAAAGACTACAATTTTATTTTTTCAATTTTTGATTTTTGGATTAACAAGCTACATTTTTCAGTAAAATTTTTATAACTATCTAAATTTAACTTATAAAACAAATTCCAAAATTTTAAATTAAATCAAGAAGATAAAATGTGAAATTTATTTTCTAATTCTGTTCTTTATTTTCATTGTATTTAATAACATAAATGAAATAGTTATAAAGTCTGAATGTGGAATTATTGCATTCCATTCTATAAATTAGATTTGATATTTTCCATTGTATATTGAAATTTTTGAGAATTTTAAGTATGAAACATTCCAAAATCATTTTGTGATATATATAACCATATTTTATGGCATATAAAATGCAACTTTTCTCCAAAAAAAGCTCATAAAATTGCCTTGCATCTTGTGACTTTGTGATCTCCCATAGGCTAATGAATTACCCAAATGGTCTTTAGTAGGCTACACATAACTTCTACCCAGCCCAACTCCTGAATAAAAATGTTATTGTTTAATTAAACATATTTGCTGCAGCTAAATGGCTTTTGCATGTATTCATATTGAATATTTCAATGGTAAATCTTAATTGTAAATGACTTCTTTTAAACTTTTCGTTTTTCCTGATAAATAAAAGTGTGAATTCTAATTTTATTTTTTTTAAAGCAGAATACAATTAAAAAATTTTAGGCTGAGTGCCAAAGGTTTGGGATGGTTTAAATACACTAAATATTCTGGGCTGAAATGGGGGTGCATCTTATATGCCATAAAATGTGGTAATTCTTTAATTATATTTTTTCAAGATTATAGTATATGACCATTATTCACATAAATATGTATACATTTATATTCCATTATTTATCAACATTATTTTTCTAAACAATAAACTTTTGTAAATACTAAATGTTTAGATACTAAAACAAGATTCTGAAAATATGAAATATTGAAGAAATTAATTTTTATTTTGAAAGATCACAGAATTATTTCTTTTTAAATTGCTATAGCTGTTTTCAATAAAATTCTCAAATGTAATTTGCCTTAATTGTTTGGTCCATAAAGAAAGGACAATGAGTAACGTCATACATACATTGTCCAATATGAAATTAAAATCTCTTCAAAACTAATTGCTTGAAGACAATTTAGTTTCTACTTTTGTAATTCCAATGATTTCAGATGGAAACAAAAGTATTTTTTTTTTAACTTATATTTTAGATATATAAGAAGCTTTATAATTTATAACATATTGCATATATTTTATTATTTATGATTAAAAAAATAATAATTTAATTATATTAATAGTTGTATTATTTAAGTAAAATCAGACTAAATTTTCAAAGTTGTTTTGTTTTATTGGTCAACTATAATTGATGATTTTTTAAAATTATTTATAAATTGTTTTTATATGCTTATTTAATTATAACAGAATAATTTTAATTAATTACTTGCAATTTTAAAACTTTTAAATTGTATAAGAAGTAAATATTGCATTAAAAATTTTGTTAGAATATAAATAAATTTTTCTGATTCTGCTACAAAAGGAATTATATAAAAGTTGTTTCAAATAACAGGATTTAGTCTTTATTGTGTTTATATTTGATATGATTTTCAAATAAATTCTGTTACTATTTTATTTGGGTAAATTTTCAAAATACCAAATTAAATTTTACTTCAAAAGTTATAAATGTCATGGATGATTTTTTCTAATAGGAAAATCAACTTTTTGTTGTCAGTTATAAATATAATAGGGATTTTTAAATTTTATTAATGAGAACAACCAGACAGTTATTCCTCTGTCTATATAGCCTAACAGAAAATTATTTTTTAACTATTTCATTATTATATGTTGACTTTAAGGTCTCTTTGTTGTGGTCAGTGGCTGCCCTTGATTGCAATTGCATAGAAATATTTAATGATTGAATGCTTCTAAGCAAAGTGAATCTAACAATATCAGACATTGTTATATTAATTAATTAAAAGGCCAATAAAATCAACAGATATGTTGCATTAGTTGTAGAGTTCCCAAATGCAACTTTCAATATGTTGTTCAATACATTACTTACAAGAAGAAATTACTTGTCTTTGGAAATGTGTATGTTCCTAGTCATGTCACACTCCATACATTACAACACAAGATTCAAAGACCATGCAGATTGGACAAGACATCTTAAAGAATTTGTTTGTTTGGTAGCTCTTACATAAACATAATATAGATTTTAGGAATGCCTACAAGCACTCATTGAGTTAAACAGAACAACAGAATTTGATCTGATAGGCTACCAGTCAGATGATGATGAATTTAGGAACTCTGCAAATGTTTTTAGACTAAAGAGATGCTAGAACATTCATCTCTGAAAAAATTTATATCTGGCAGTTTTTACTTATAGCTTTAAAAATTAATCAAAATATTTTTTTGTAATTGTTTTCAATTTATTTATTTATTATTTATTTGTAATATTCTGGAAGTTTATCAAAATATTTAAAGACTATTTCTAGATTCAAACGTATCAACTGTAAACTCAATATAGACCATGTCAGATATTTGATATAACTAAAATATGCACAAATGTGTGTGCAAATGTCTATCAGTTCTGTTTATCACATTTAAGTAAATTATATTAAGTTTTGAGATTAATTGTTATAATTCAAGTTTGTTCAGTAGTTTTACCATTGCCTTTGACTTAATTGAAACAATTGTACACTCCATAAGCACGAGACGTACAAGAATTGGCGCAGTTGACAACATTAGCTGATGTGCTGCTAACACGTCTGCAAGAAACAAGCCGAAACAAGTAAGGCGCAGGGACGAAGGTAGGAAGTCTATAAGTTTAAGATTGAAGTTAAAAGTGTAAAATTTTGGTCTTAACCAAATCAAAGTTATAGAAAAGCTTAAGAGCTAACTCTAGGAAGCGATAGCTTAAAGATTTAACGCCGATATTAGAAAAAACTAAGAATTTAAGTTGACGATCGTGATTCGGTTAGAAGCTAATATGTCTGCGGTTGAAGAAATTAAACATGATTTAATAGGAAGGACGGTAAGATTTACCCTCCGAATGAGGGGGTAGCCATCCCCCAACGGGTAGCCCTCCCCCGTACGAACAATAAATGTCTAATGAATCACCCCCCTACGCACGACCCTTCGCAAGATATAGCCCTCCGAAAATTGTTCTACGGGTCACGTGACTGCATGTTAGCCACAATTTCGAGTGCGAATGATCGGATCGGCGACCCCCCCCGAATTGAAGACCCCCTCCATGCGAACGAAAAAGTCAAAGGAACCATACCCCTGCGCGCGACCCTTTACGAGATATAGCCCTGTAAAGAATCGCCCACGTCATTTCTGGCGATTGGGATCGACGAGTCGCGTCGCTCTTTCTACTAAGCCTATCGACCTATTCTAACGTTACTGCAGTCTAATTATCGGAAGTTAGGTCCTTTTCGCATGACCCCGCGTTCCTCCTCGACCTCGGGAGGGTCTAGGCCCCTCATTCGCCAACACACTGGGTTTCGCTCGCCCGGTCGGCTACCGTATTAAGCACCGCTAAGCCTATCGACCTATTCTAATGTTACTACAGTCTAATTATTGCCGAGTTAGGTCCTTTTCGCACGACCCCGCGCTCATCCTTGACCTCGGGGCCTAGGGCCCTCATTCGCCGACACGCTCGGGTTTCGATCGCGGTCGGCTAGTACTACGCGCCGCTTTCGCGGCTTGTCCAAAACACCTGACCTACCTCTTCGGAGGTGACTGTCA